GTTGTTTTATAAAAAAATCATTTTTTTAATCAAAATTTAGTATTCGTTTGACTTCATTTTAGAGGAAAATTGTCTATTAAAGTGAATTTTTTTTAAAACTAGTTATGAAATTTGTTTTCATTGCAAAAAAGAAAAAAAAAAGGCACGGAAAAGCTTTTCATCAATTTTGAGAAAAATAGGGGTAGATGAAAAAGTTTTCCTTAGAAAATTGTAGCAATCAAACAAGTCAAAACAAAAAAATAAATGAAATTCCTTTTCCAAGTGCAAGGGAAAACCAATTAAATAGGCCTAATTGAAGTGAGTTCAAGATGGGAATTACGTTCCACGTCTGCACCCAAGATTTCGACTTCCTCAAACTTTATCAAAATCTACTTCATAAAAGTCTAAGGGTGTGTTTGATAGCTCCAATTTTCCTTGAAAAATGGAAAATGATTTCCTTTTCCACCCAATTGTCTTGTTTGATAAGCATTTTTTTCTAGGTAATTGGTTTTCCTCATTTTCCTCCCATGTGCACTATTTCCTTGAATTTGGTGAATTTGTTTTCCCACCATTTTGGTGGGAAAAGTTTTTCCAACTTTTTTTTGTAATGGAAACAAATTTTATAACTAATTGTAAAAAAAAATTCAATTTAATGAACAAATTCCATGTAAAACGAAGTCAAACGAATACTAAATTTTGATAAAAAAATAATTTTCTAGCAACATTTTTTTTTTACTTCTTAGTAATGATAACAAATTTCATAAGCAATTGTAAAAAAAAAACCACTTTAATTGATAATTTTCATGTAAAATAAAGCCAAACGTGAATAAAAAAAAACTCAAAATTTCAAAATTTTTATGAGTGAAAAATTATATCAATCAAACATACTTATATCAGTTAAAAATTTTTATGAGTGAAAAATTATATCAATCAAACATACTTGAAATCATTTTCCCAATAAAACATTTTCTAATCAAATTTTTTGCTATAACACGTTTTCTTCCCACCCATTTTCACCCCCAATTGCATCCTAATTTTAATCCCAACACCATAAAAGATTGCGGAGGAGAAGACTGCAATTTGTGACTCATCTTCTCAGTATAATTTCTGATACAGCGGCAGATCCGGCGGCNTCTCAGTATAATTGCTGATACAGCGGCAGATCCGGCGGCCAAATCCGCGATCGCAAACGGTAAATTCCTCATCTTTCTTTTCAATTTTCTGTTTATTTTGTGTGCTTTCTCTACATATCGGAACGGTATAATCTCGATGCGATCAATTTTCTTTTTATTTTAATTCTCGTATTTTAAGCTGTCGATTTCCTTAGTGTTGTAAAATTTGTGATATATATGGAAGATCAGTTCGAGTATGTGTGAAATTTATGGAGAAAATGAAGGATTTTCCTATTTCTGAATTTATGAAATGTAAAAGTAGTGCATTTCACATAATTAACCATTAGTAAAAGTCTAATGTGTGATTGTGCATCCCGATAATGATATCAAGTAGCTGAATTCTAAATTCTTCAGGAGACTACCTGTTTTTATATTGTGATTATAGATAAAATGGATAGATGAATTGTGTGTTCATGTGTTTGCTTCTTCACTGGCTTCGAAGACTGAATGTAGATACAATTCGGTAATTTGATATAATGAAGAATCCTTCTTGATCAGGGCTCATAGAATGATTTACACAGTTCTTTCCTTACGTAATAAAGATACACTTGTTATTTTGTGCTCAAAAAGTGAAGTTTCGTGCAAAAAATTTGACCTATACTGATTTGGAGTGGCTGATTATAGGCCCATATGTCGAGAATAAATTTTAGTCCATAGCCTGACGAGGCTTATTTGATGAGACATTGCGCCCACCTAATAGGCTGATTCTTGAATTTTTCTCCAGATCACTGTACTAGCAGGTACGCAAAAAAGTGAAAAAAAAATGGGGAGATCAACAACATCAAAGGATGCCCAAGCACTTTTTCATTCTCTTCACTCTGCGTATGTGGCAACTCCCACTAAGCTCAAGGTCTCTCTCTCTCTCTCTCTCTCTTTCTCAGCCTTTTTTTTCTATATATGTACATACATGCAGATGTCTGATTACTTTCATTCTTTGTATGTTTATTAACTATTTTTGCAGATCATCGATTCGTATATTATGTTTGCAGTTGTCACTGCTGTAATTCAGGTATGGTAATTGATCTATTCATGCCCACACTTGTACATGAATTCTTATGTGAATTTCTGGTGTTCATGTAAATTGATTTGAACAAAAAATTCAACAGCTTTGCCATTTCTCTTTAACAGTTAAATAATTTCATGTGCAACTGAACAAAAATAGAGTTGAAGAACATTCTGAGAATTAACTGGAGGTTGAAGGGCCATGCCCATCTGCTTATCTAATTGCTTGAGGTGCATGGGTGCACCTTTTTTTGTTTTATTTTTTTTCCCATAGATTCAACTTCTTAATACTAGTAATGCCAGATATTTTATATAGCCAAGTGGAAACAAAATTTTCATGTTGTGTTCCGGTTCAGTAGCGCCCCTATTCAGTTTCACGTAAAAAAATGACTACATTGGCAAACTATTAGCAGCCACAAAGTTTTGATATTTAACAATTTCACTGATACCTGCAAAATCTATAAAAAGAATATGCAACCGGCAAAATGATATGATACCTCTTACTTTGTCAAGCTTCATTTTGAACTTAGATTGAACTTTATAGACAAATATCTTGTTCCCAAGTTATATAAACCATAATGGTTGGACCAGTTGAGTTCTATAGTAGATGTCTTTGGGTTGTAGTCATCATTTTGACATGGAATTTTACGGGCTTTTGATAAATCTCTCAGTGAAGTATTTTGGATGCTAGTAAAGCGATGGTTTATTCCTATTCGGTGTATGGTTTATATAGAATTGGGCTTTCCAACTTCAACAACTTGCTTTTGAGGTATTACTCTTCCAAGATTTATATCATCTTCTCTAAAGTCTTGAGCCTACAACTTAGTTGCGTTTGTTAAAGAATACACCTTCGACTTTCCGAAGTTCGTGCCAAGGGATAAGGGGGTAGATGTGTGTTAGTCATACCCTTTTTTTCAGCTGTTTTATGCTTCTCTACCTCTTGGGTTACATTGCTTCATAGCCTAGAACTTTTAGCGCACATTTGCAACATTGAACGTGTATTAGATCGTACTGGACGGTATACCAAACTTGCACTTTGGGTTGTTCCAAAATACAGTTTGGCCTTAAGAATTATTTTAGAATACTTGTGATGCATAACCTTGCTCCTGTCTTTCTTTCATATTTTTCTTGTTGGTTTTTTTTTTGTTGTTGTTGTTTGTGTTACTTATTTTAAAGTCAAAGCAAGAAATTTTCTTAAATTGTTAGTTGCTTCATTTGTTTATCTGATTTTTACCTCATTTTATTTATTATCTTTATCTACTACCATATTGAATCCATATTTTGTTTCTAGTTGCAAAGAGACTTTTAATTTTGTTGAAATGATTATTTGTAGAATTACAAATTTGTAGATGATTTATGGTTTATGAGTATAATTTTGGATCTCTAGTATAAACAACTTCATTATTGGTTTACGTTGAAGCTTACACCTTAAAGCGTCTCGAGGCTTACACCTCACCTCACGAAGACAAAATGCTTCAATGCTTGATTTATCTTTTTTTAATCACTCTTTTAAAGTTCAATTGGGATTGGGAACCTTTTAACTTAATATTTTCACTTTCTTTTTTCCACTTTAATTTGTTAATCGTTCTATCCTCTATTAGAAAATGTACATCTAAACCATTGGTCACTTCACCTCAACAAAAAGTAAAGAGAGACAGGTACAGTTGTAGTTGAGAAAGTGGTGTTTAGAGCATCTCAAATGGGTTGTGTGGATTGCTGTCTATGGGGCAACAAAAATGGATAGCTTCCACCTTTACGTGCAGTGAATACACATTGAATCAGAAAATTCATCTCCAATGGTTTTGTGAATTGATGCATGTTGTCTACGCGTGGACAGCAGAGAGCTACAATTGTTAGTCATACCTTTTCTTAATATAGGAATGCTGAATCGTCACTTCTAAGGTAGTAAGGGAGTTATTTGTACTAAGCTATTGTTGGTCATTGGTATAACACAGTTCTGTGTTGCATAGACACTTCAATTTAGGTATCGTGTCTGTCTTCAACACGTGTCGAATATTGACACTCTTCGAACACTCTCCCATGATCATGTTTTTATTAGAAATATTATATATTTTTAACTCAAAGTTATTAGTAATAAATAGGTACTCAAATTTAAAAAAAATTTAAAAAAATTAATAACAAGTATAAAATTAAATTTATACTATGAGTATGTTTGAACCCTATTTTTTTGGCCAAAAATGTATTTTGGAATAGTAATTTGATGGAGAATTTATGGTTAAAAAATAAGGAAATTTTTTTATTTTGCGTGTAATATTATTTTATTCAAAAATGTGTGGTTGAAAATAAGAGAGAGAAATGTATTTTGAAAATAATGGAGACCAAATAAGGACTATATAAATGAAGAATTTTAAAATATTTAATCAACGTATCGACGACATGTCGTGTCAATACTTTTTTTGAAAAATCGTATGTCGATATATTAGACACGTTTCAGTATTTCTCTGATATGTGCATAATTTCTTGTGAGATGTACTTATATTTAGGCTCTCCAATAGTTTTAACTTTTATACACGTTTACTTGTTTAGTAATTGTCACCTTTTTTAGGCCAAATCAAAAATATTCATTATAGTGGTCATCACACTATGAGACTTCGATTTCATGTGACAGACTGATAGTAACTAGTTGAAAACGGGTATTTTACAGAGTCATCAGGATGATATCAAGAATACAAAAATATAATAGCAGTTTTTGCATGACTTTCTCACACACTTCTATATCCGATGAAATGACAAAAATGGATAAGATAAGAAAGCTTGATATTTGTCCGTTGATATATTTTATAAACGGTCTAATCCCATGTGTGGCCTCTATCTTCTAAAACTAATTTTTGTTCGAACTCATTTTTTACCATTAATTTCATGGTACTTGCAACTTTGATTAACTTTTCAATCACACATTTCATCAACTTTTATAAAAAATTACTGAAAATATAATTTTTAGCAAACCAAACATGGTGTAAAACCAAGATTTCGAATGCATGAAATCAAGTCCATTTAATGCTAACCTCCATAAAAACATATATATAATTATTTAAAAAATTATGTGTGTAAGACTTATTTACATACCCATGTCCAAATTTTATATTATTTTAGCCTTATCCCCGTATCCTAAGTTTTATAAGAAAAATGATTCAACTCCTAGATATGTACCAATACCAAACATCCATATTCGAGCCCTAGGCAAGTGATCAACATAGGTGTGGATTAAAAGGGGTTTTACCGATTGTGAATAATTTGTAAACATTAGCCAAAGTAATCATGGACTTCGTTTCCCTCTTTAGATATTTAGTCCCTGTTTGGTTCAACTAAAAAAATGATTAAAATCCATGTCAAAATCAACCATTTACTTTAAATACACATTTATGGGATCTACAACTTTTTAACCATGTATTCCAACAATTTTTACAAAAACTACTAAAAATATGATTTATCTAAACCAAACACAGGCTTAGTTTCTGTTTTAAAGGTAAGGAAAAAATTGGCACTCTTACATCTCTAGCTTTAACAGTCTTTCCCTCTTGCTGGTGAACAGGTAGTTTACATGGCTATTGTTGGATCATTCCCTTTCAACTCTTTTCTTTCAGGGGTACTTTCATGTATAGGGACTGCAGTTCTTGCTGGTAAGTTGATGTCCTGATTGACACGTGTATATACTAAATCTGCAAAATTGATGGTTTGAATCTGATTGATGGCATTCTTTGGTGGCAGTTTGTCTACGTATACAAGTGAACAAAGAAAACAAGGAATTCAAGGTATATTTTTTTCAATTTTGCTACATGTACATTGATTTTGTACAGACAAGTTGACAGATGCATGATCAGTGTACAAGTAGGTTAATTGATATTTTTATTATTTTATCGCTTTCTGCAAGTGGCAGAAAAGCCAAAAACTTATTTAGACTGGTTGCTTTAGAGTTTATTTGAGAGAGATTTTTTAAAAAATATTTTTTTCACAAAAGCATTTTCAATCACACATTTATGAGACTTGCAATTTTTCCCCACGTTTTAACCATTCATTCTTTCAAAAAAATCATTTTTCACTTTGAGAAATCTCTCCCAAAAGAATGCTTAGTAGTTTTATGTTTCTCATTGTCTTTTGCACTCATTTTGTCATAATACTCCATTGGCGGAGTGTGAAATGGCCATGTGGGCAACACGTGGCTATTCTGTTGGCCACAGTTGCTTCATAGGGAAAATTAGGTTATACCCCTGTAGCATGACCTGATAAAGTCATAAAGTCAGAGTAGCCCAGAGAGTATGTTTGGCTAAGCTTGTTTTTTCATTGCCAAAGTTAAAACAAGTTAATTATTTTTTCAGATTTTTGTTCAAAATACAGAACTTTACTTTTCTTAGGTTAATTACGTCAATGATCACTACAATTTTAAGTAATTACGTCAATTGAAGTTATTTTCTTATTAATATAGCCATTCAAGTTTCTAAATGCTACACTAGCCATCACTCGATCAAAAAAGTTTAACATAATACATGTCACCAAAGGTGTTATTTATTATGCCAAATGAAATTCGTTGTTAAAAAAGTGTGGGTTCACTATACAATTTAAAATTGAAAATATGATTAAAATTAAAGTCTCATTACGATTTCTCAACTGAATATGTTTAATTTTCAATTCTTAACTCCCTAATTTTGTTTAATGCCTTTGGTAACTCATGGCACTTAACAGCATTGCATATGATTCAATGTTAATTTTTATTTAAGTGACTATTAGTGTAATATTTAGAAATTTGAATGATTATTAAGGTAAGAAAATAACTTCAATGATCATTGGAGTAATTAACCCACTTTTCTTACTTAAAAAGGTAGGAAAAAGTAATGTATCCAAAACACCTTAGGAAGCAATAAGTTACTAAAAAGAGTAACTTTTATATTTCTTAAGCTTTAGCCAAACATGTACCCAACACTGACTTTGCCAGAGTGAGTGAAGATTAATGAGCAAATGCTGTGCAATTGTTCTTTTTCGTCCTTCAAAAGTTTTCTGATTCTTTCCCCGCACCACCTTTTGCTTTGAATTTGCAGGATTTACCTCCAGAACGCGCATTTGCAGATTTTGTTCTCTGCAATTTGGTGCTTCACTTGGTTATCATGAACTTCCTCGGATAGGTTTGTCCCTTGCGAAACAAATAAACGGTCTCAAGTTTTGATAATTAGGCTAGAAACAAGTTGGCATTTACAAGAAACATGAAAATTGTCTTTTTTGAGCCAACAAAACTTGATCACTGACTGTTTTCTCTTTGTTGGTAGTGACATTTGCTTATATTCTTGGACTGGTCTCTCTACCCTTTTTTTTTATTGTGTTCTTGAGAATATTATCAAACTAGCCTCGTTAGTTGTGACACAACAATGCATATCCATTATGTGGTCGAGGCCACAACCATAAACTCCAATATGGTGATTTTGACTTGATTGAAAACGAATAGGATTATTAAAACTTATAAGTTTCTTATCACTTGTTTAGTAAGATGGATACAGGATACTGGACAGTATAAAATATTTAAAATCTTGTTTATTATATTCTGTATATTAAAACTTCTCCATGAGACTTTTTAAATACGATTTTTTTTTTTGAAAAGAGTTAAGAGTATCTCCAAGAAATTCTATTTTTAGACTATATTTTGAAATTTAAAGAACATCTAAAAATTCTATTTTTAGACTATATGAAGTTTGATCAAAACAACCAAACTTCCCTACATGCAACTCAGAGATGCCAGAATTGGAATTTTGGGGGCTTGTTATTAGATCCTCCAAGATGTGCCATTTGGATTGGAGAAAATATGCACAAAATTCACATATTGTGAAATTAACTTCAGTGACCAATAGAGTAAGAAAAATAGTGTAAGCACTACTTTGAATATTAGTGAAAACTTCAATGGTGGTCGGTGAATTTAACTCCTTTTATTTATTTATATAAAATAAAATGATGAACCATTTGGAATGTGGAAATGATAATCAATTTGAATATATAATTGCAAGAGATGTCATATCAATTTATAAAAGTATTTGGCCTAGTAATATAAACAAATTCAGAAAATGACATTTACCTACAAATGATAATCAGTCTTCCCTAGAATCTTAAAACACACGTTTTATTCCTTTAATCAGGCACATAGTGTAGGGGACCCAAAAAAAAAAAAATTCCCTTGCAAAACTAATTGGGCCTGGGGGCTCGTCTAGGCTCTCCCTATCTACGTTCATGCTTATAATGTTATGATGACATACGTTGAATTGAGATATATTTTGTTGCACTTTCTTTTTTCTCGGGGTCTGTTTTGATCGGATTAAAATCTGATTTTAATTCAAGTCAAAGTCAAACAATTAATATTAACTGCATTTTTCATGTGTCATACATCTTTTCAACCACATATTTCAAAAATTTCTATCACAATCCACTAAAAATCTAATTTTAATCCCCATCAAACACTCTCTTAATTTTGTTCATATAGTATACCAAATTGGTATTCGATGAAATAAAACTTTGTATTTATGGTAATAGTTTATACCCATCTCTATCTTCAAAATTTGCCTCTTACCAGCATTCTTTTTGGATAGGACTCTTATCCTCAACTATTATTAATTAGTGGGGGTAAATATTTCCTATACTTTTTAACTTCTCTCAATAATTATTCATCTTTAAAAAAAGTTTCACTTTTTTTTTTCTTTTTTTTCTCGTCAAACAGATATCGTTCTTTGGACCCTAGATGAACTAAACCTGATGTGGTAAGGGAAAAATTTATTTCTCCTATTTTATCTTTGCCCTATTTCAAAAATAACAAAATAACTTTTACATTTCAAAAATCAGATATTTTAACC